ATCATGCTAAAGTTTACAAAGCCATGATAAGTACTATCTTTGTTCCGCATGCTACTGCGAGCACCACGCAATGAGCTTCAGCGAAACTAGACGACCTTTGAATTCATCTTACTCATCTTCACGAATATCTTCCTAATGTTTCTCAGCCACGTGATCTAATATTTCGCAGATGTCTAGTTTCACTGAATCCCACTATGTGATGCGCGGTTACGTGCGAGACTGGAGTGGTAAATAATAAGCTAATAAGTGTTCTAGATGTTCAAAAGAGAAGCTGCCGATGAAGTTGAACCAATGGAAGACTCGATCGAAGAAGTTAATATAAAAAGCGGAGCTGCGGTACAACCTGTTCCAGGGAGATATCCTCCTAACAAAGTTTGCTCGTTTTGCTTTTTCTTTTTCTTTTTTTAAGCGGAGGTTGCACGTGCTACATTCAGGGAACAAAGAAAATTGCTATGGATGTCCGAGGAATCGTGCAAAAAGGCAAGCCTTCAACGTTGATGGGACTTGGCCTGCAAGGAAATGGACAAATGGAGTCACGTTCATACTCGCCGGTTATTTAGGTTAGTACTTCTACGTTCCACTACTAATATTATTGATTTATAGCTTCCTCGCAGAGCGCTAAAGAGACTCACAACACAAGTGACGACGGCCTCCACAAAATGTAAATGTTTTCTGCCAATGAAATGATTAGCCTGTTGCAGTTGTATTCTATCAGTTGTCACTAATTACAACTATCATTTACCAACTATCAGCTATCACTATGAATCACTAGTTACCAGATTTACTTGGAGGCTGTCGTCACTTGTGGTGTGTGGTCTGCACTCGACGCGTGTCTAGTTCTCGGAAGCGGAGATAATGTTAGGTATTGATTAAATAACGCCCCTATAAATCGAAATGGAAGTGTCAAGTTAAGTAGTTAGTTCGTGCAATGGGTCAGGTTTATTCTATTAGAAATCCATGTTTCATTGTTTGTCCCAGTAGCCGTTGCTGTAACACTAGCTGAAATGCAAAGCCGCACGCTTTCCGCGCGCGAGTGACGGCATTTCCATACGCGAGACAGTTGTCGCTGGTGTGAAACGCCGGTTTGATTCACGTTCGCAGCCGCTTTCTTGCTTTCATTTAGGCAATAATGGCAGATTTATTCATTGTTTTTCACACATTTCCTGATGCTTTTTACTAGAAAACAACGGCGGTGGAACATCACTTCATTTGACTTTCGTCGCTTGTGCCGTCCCGAACTTCGTTTTCTTTTACTATTCGCTATCGTGCTATACAGTGCATCCCCGATTAATACTGCATTACCCATGTTCCAGAGGTTGTCCGAGGAGGCGTCCTATTGACGTTTTTATGCCTCCATCCATCACGTCCACAAAGGATTCCGATGAAGCGTGTTCGTAAGTTGAAAGGTGTTCGACTACAATTTTTTTTCGGAGCTCATCCAGTAAAGAGGGGGGATATGATGCGACATCATATCGTCTGCACTAATCCCAAATTTTGCTGGGAAGGAATCTATGAGTTGGGCGTGAATGCCAGAGCGAAGTAGTTCACGCACTCCAAGATTTTCAGCCCGCAAAATTCATCTGTTGGCGACGGTAGCCATCGCATCACATGTCTCTCCTCTTACTGGAAAAGACCCACTTTCTCTTCTTTTTCATTGTTCAGAAATGTTTCAAAAGTTTTCGACCTTTCATAACCAGTATTGGTGCTACTGTTGGACTGAGGGGAAGGGGGGGCTTTTCCATGGGTGTGGTTCACTAGGACAGAAAGCGACTTTTTCGCGTTTCGCAGCGCGAAACATTTTCCGCTGCGGGAACCTCAGGTCCACCGCTGATCATCAGTGGACCCGAGGTTCCCGCAGCGAATCATCAGTGGACCCGAGATTCCCGCAACGAACAATGTTTCGCGCTGCGAAACGCGAAAAAGTCGCTTTCTGTCCTAGTGAACCACACCCCTTTTCCACGGCGTCCTTACAAACTACTTGAACTCAGTTCTTTGAACCGCCACAGTTTGGTGATTTCGCCTGCGCTCTGTCGCCTAAACAGCGTCTTATGATTACTGGGATCTTCGCATTTGAAGTTCTGCCACTTTTTAAGGGCGAAGTTCACGATAAGAGAGCTCATTAGGATTTAAGAAGATGTGGTCAGTGGTGCAGGAATGAAGAAAAGACCATAATAAATCACTCAGAATCCAAGAAATGGGACCTATTCATTTTGGCATCGATGCAACTCTCATCGTTGCTGCCCTCTTCAACGCTAGCCTCTTTACTGATTGGCTGAGCGCTACAGCGAGTGGTCAGCCAGTCGGTGGTCATGCTGCGGCGATAGCGACGCGGGGACTGCCATGTTAGATCGCCGGGGGCGTATCGTTCGCTGCGAACCGTGCATCGTCCGTATTCTTAGGGTCCGCCTGCCTCTCCATTAGGTGGGTTTCCCTTTCTTTAACCTCCAACCTCATCTGGTGAACTTGCTTTAATTGACTTGCCAGCCCTAGAGTCGATGTCCCCTCCAAGGCTCAGTCTTAATGCTCTCACCTTCCTATTTGGGTCCTGATCCGAGCCAGGCGCCGTATCTTTACGTCTGTGCTAGCTTCTCGACAGGGTCATTGTGGAGAGTCGTAGTTCGTTAACCGTCACGGCGCCGCGTGACTTCTCTGCGCTCTTTCGGTGAAATATTCAACGTTAGTGCATGGAAATCATGATTCAGAGGAAAAATAGTCATTTCAGGGGGAGTGGGGACCTGGCTTATATCAGAAAATGTGTGAGCACGCATTATCTAAGAGAGAGGGCATCAATAGCCGCGTGGTGGTATTCCCTATGAGACCTTTCCTAGTGGCAGAACTGTTTGATGTCTGGCGCAATCTAGCACTCGTAGTAAAACCTACAGATCCCCACCGTACGATTTTGAAACCGTACCGCAGTCAAGTTCGTGGTGAAACTCGTCGCTCTCAATAGCTTTTTTTTAAATATTTTATAGAAACGCGTAACATATCCAAACTTTTCAGTAGATCCGCCTGAATTATTTGAATGTCTAGATCTTTCTCATGATTAGAGTTGGCTCAACCTAGGCTAGGCAATGATACCTTGTACTCGATCCCAAAGCAATGCTGTACTGTGTAGTGGGACCTCTTTAATGGTAAAAAGAGTATAGTTGAGAGTTGCATTTCTTCCTCGCTTTTGATTGAATGCTTTATAATTTCCAGGGATCTGTTTAAATTGGACTCGGCGGCTCTCAATAAACAACCGGAAGAAGTGTTCGATATTGTCGGCAAGCTAGGAGAAGGGTACGTCTATCCGATTCTTTCGTATTGTCCCGTTTTCTGGTTCATTGAACAGAGCGGCTTTTTTTGTTTCCCGCAGCGTGAAGCTTTTCCCCATCGGAACTCTTGGTCCACTCCTGACATGGGTGGACCTGGAGAAGTCGTTTCTGCCCCAACAACCCACATTAGCTGCCCCGCAGTGATTTTTTTCTTGTTTGTCTCTGTTTTCCCAGTCGTGCTTGTGCAGGCGGTTTGATCATAACCCTAACGCATCTGGGGCTCAACTCTAAAACGGACTGCGTTTAGATCCATTCATTGATCGACAATGTCTTTTCGTTACTTTTGCGAGATGTCTTGTATTGATATTTTCTATGGGAGACGCTGACAGCGATTTAGAATTGCCATTCCATGTTTGTGAATGTAAGCCGTCATAGAATTTCACGAACATCGAAACGCACAAAAAAAAAACACATAGCCTATCGTTTCTGTAATCGGGCCATGCTTGTGCTGTTCCTGATACTGAGCTAACGACAGTTTATATGAGTAGAAAAATCGGTAAAGCGAAGGCAGTTGAAAATTGGGAAGTACACCTTGCTTTGAATGGTGTTTTCTGTGTTTGTGTTCTAAGGCCGTGTAGCAACAGAATCGTCCGGAGCACTCCTGGACGATTCTGTTGCACGCTCCCGTGTTCTAAGGAAAGATCACACGAAAAGTGGTCACCATTGGGTATGAAAGGAGAAGGGTTCGCGACGAAGGAAAAACTAAGTGGAACGTCAAAGGGACTCTGATTTCCTCGTTATATTACATTGGGCATTACACGAATAAGTGCATTTGCGATCATCAGCATTGAGTATCTGCTCTGCCGTCCGCTGAATGGGCTCAACCGAAGGCGAGGATGGTGAGCGAGTAGAGGGCGAGGCTTTGAAAGAGGCGGGAGGGCGTTGTCAGGCCGTTACGGGCGCTTCCTTCTACCGTAAGACCTCGGTCAGTACTAGCAGATGCGTCGCTGTAAACACAGCGACGGAGCCGCCGCAGCAAAAGAATGCCATCAACGGGACGATGAATTGCATCAGCAACGTCGATATGCTGGCAGGGGAGATTATCATCACTCACCATTCGTTTCATGTTGCCTCCCGTTGCACGATTATCGATCGTCTGCTGACTAGAGTCATCCGGCCGTATGCTGCAACTCTTAGTGCGGCGGACTCCGTCGCTGTGTACACGCGACGCATGCGAGTCTGACGAGGTCTAGGCCCATCTTTCGATTGGTTATGGGTGGAACAGAATTTATGCTTTCTAGAGCAACTTGCCCTATGTCAATCAGCAATACATCGTGCCACCTGCCTTGACTGGGCTTATTGTATTTTCTCTCTTATACTTTTTTTTTCGATGCGTGGAAGGCAGTTGTAAATGGGAAGTTGAAAGATAGTTAGGCGGGGCTCAGCTAAATCAATTAATCTGGTCAGTCGAATGGAGGCTTTCATTTTTTTCTTTTCTTTCGAAACATTCTTTATCTTGTGGGCACACTTTGTGTCGCTAATGCGAACTTGATAGGCATAGTCATATTTCTGTCCCATGATATGGCTTCAAGACAAGCGCAACTTTCTTGAATCGCTTCATATTCTGCTTGGGCAACCCTGAGTTTAAACGTCGGTACATGGTTAACCCATTGCGTACCGCGCCGTTTTTTGGCTGGCGGGCGCGTGTGGCCGGCGCATATTCAGACCCCCGCCGCGTGCTGCGCGATCCATATAAAACTTTCATTTATATCATGAACACATATTATATAAGCACTGTACATGTATCGGGTCTCATCCGGTAAGGGGGGGGGGGCATAGCGATCTAGAGCATTTCAAACCATGGAAAGCACATTATTTTATTGTAGACGTTCAGGACTAAGCCTTAGAAGGGAAGGAGCCCCGGGTCCGTGAGCAATCTTGGTTTTCCCCGGGGGACTTCCTCCCCTCCTAGGCTTAGTCCTGACCTGCTGACTAGGTGAATATTACTTTTCGTAGACGTTAATGTCATCTAGTACAAGAATACATACATTACACAAAACACCTGAAGAAATAACATAGGAAAAAAGCTGATAGCAGCTCGTAACTTTAAAGGACTCCTTGAGCCAAATTGGCATTAGAGCAGACCGTGCACCGCAATGCCCCCTCTTACCGGATGAGACCCCATGTATCTTATACTACAATATTTCATGTTTATTTTTGTTCAGTGGAATCAATTATTATCGCATGGTATAGGGAGTAGGGTAACCGAAAGTGCGACAGAATTGAAAATGTATCCTTGAAGAATATAACTAGGAAAAAAGAGATAGAAGTGATTAAACGACGTCGTTTGATTGTTTTATATGCTCGAAGTTGTCGCACAGCCGCTCTTTCACTTTTACTACAATTTGGCGAGAAAATTGAGAGGGTGCGACTAGAGTTTTTCACAACAAATACCAGTAATTCAGGAATTCCTTCGCATTGCGCAGTCCCACGTCTGTATGTTCTTTTTTGGATTGATTTCTTCATTTCTATAAGATCGAAGCCCAAGAAAATGTCGAAAATACCCTTTAAAAACCCGTGCTTCACCATGTGCAGCACGCGGCCACGCGGAGGCGAAATGGACGTGCTGCACCATGTGCAGCACGCGGTACGCAATGGGTTAATGAATGTTCCATAGTTTCGATTTTGTGATTTTTTTTCGTTGCAGGTCATATGGATCAGTACATAAAGCTGTTCATCGAGACTCTGGTCACACACTGGCTATCAAGAAGGTTCCAGTGGACACAGATCTTCAGGTAGGGTACCAAACTGTTGTTCCGTTTTAGGTTTTTTGACGAATGTGGTTGTATTCTGTGCCGTCTCTGTAGTTGTAAAACTCTCTTCGGTGCAAAACAGTTAGGTAGGACGTCTAATTTCGCAGCTGACGGTATTCACTGAATTAGGAGGGAAAGAGCTCCGAGGACAATAAAAATGCCCATGAACTGTGGAGTCTCCTCCTCAAATTTCTAAGTCTGAAATGTAGCGTTGCCTAATCTGTTACCCGCAAACTCAAGGTGTCTCCACAACAACTAACTTTGCCCCTTTCTTCCACCATAGTTTGGCGTGTTTATTCTTCTTTTTCTTGGTGACCTCCTGCTGTTTGCAATGAAGTGTAGTCACTGAATTGTTATACAGGGAAGTTTTCACTCTATCAATGAAATCTTCTCTTTTTCACCGCGCTAAGCACTCACCGGTACAATGGCCTCCCATACATGAAGCTCTATGAAGAACTGTCGGCAAATTATGCTGGTACGGGATTTTGGACTCTGTTTCTGTTATAGACCTCCGTGGCCTACCGTTCTTCTTTTTTCCTCACTATTGGGAATTTTTGACTTTAGCGGCATCCTCATAGACAAGAACGTTGTGTGCTGTAAAATTCTGTTATACTGGAGAAGTTGATGAGATTTTCTAAAGGATTGCGTTGCCAGTGCTTTAGCTCAGTAAATGTGGATTTTCTGTTTAGGAAATCATTAAAGAAATCAGTATTATGCAACAATGTGACAGTAAATATGTAGTGAAGTATTACGGGTCCTACTTCAAGAATTCTGATTTATGGGTGAGTAATGAACGATCTGTAACACGCAGATTTTCAAATATTTTCAATGCCGCTATTTACAGATTGTCATGGAGTATTGCGGTGCTGGTTCTGTTTCTGATATTATGCGACTAAGGCGTAAGACACTAACCGAAAGCGAAATGAGTGCTGTATTGAGGGATACAATAGAAGGACTAAGATATCTTCACGATCTCAAGAAAATACATCGGGATATCAAAGCTGGCAATATTTTGCTAAACACCGAAGGACAAGCGAAATTGGCCGACTTTGGTGTAGCAGGGCAATTGACGGTATGTTCCCAGTGCGAATGGAGAACTGGAGTTCTCTCGCTGGCATTTTGTTTATCAATTTATTTTGTTTGTTTTTGAAGTAACGGCCCCTCTTCACAATTTCATCGAAGTGTAGCTTTTACCTTCCCGAACACAGGTTGCGCCAAAATAATCGCATAGACTTGTAGACGGAGGCTGAACTACTCTTTGAAACTCTCCCCCTAAATGAATTTCGAAAAAAGTACATGCAATAATTAATATTGAGATCCAAAAACAACTTCTGGTGTTACAAACTGAATAGTTCAATTATATACAAAACCAAAAATTTTATTGTAGCGTATGGCCAGTCGATTTTTTCCGTTCCATTGATCCCCACTAGCAATTTCAATGTGGCTAATTTTCTTCTTCAACTTTTTGTCTATTACAGGATACAATGGCGAAGCGAAACACTGTCATTGGCACACCATTTTGGATGGCTCCTGAAGTGATTGAAGAGATCGGATATGACACTAAAGCTGATATCTGGTCTCTGGGTATCACTGCAATTGAAATGGCGGAAGGACGGCCACCATATGCGGATATACATCCCATGAGGGTAATTAGATTTTATATGTACATGTCATGGGTTATTTGTAACTATTTGAATCTTCCTCCACGTTCCCTCCCAAGAAGCCAGAGCGCAGACCGTCGAAGGACGGCGCTACCGCGGCTTTAACGGTGTCAAATGGGAGGGAGGTTAGAGAGGTTGAGTGAATACAATTCATTGAGTCGGAGTGCGTGAGCAACTTTTCATGTAACGAAATTTTGAGCGCTCGAAGTCACTATGGTCATGAACCACTATTTAGACAAGAGAGCGCAGACGAAGGCAGCACATTGACGGTTTTTTGAAGGATATAGTTCAAGTAGCCCCAGCCGGAATTATATACTTGTTTTTCTTTGCCTCCATGATAATTTTTCAGTGAGCCCGCAGCGTTTAATTATTGAAGAATGAATCTTAGGCAATCTTCATGATCCCAACAAAACCTCCACCAACCTTCAAGAAGCCGGATGAGTGGAGTGATGAATTCAATGACTTCATCAAACAGTGTTTAGTGAAAAAGCCTGATGATCGGAAAACGGCTTCGCAACTAGTTGAGGTTTGTATCTTTGTTGTCCAGGTGACACTACAAAACGCTGGAGTCACTGCGGTTAAAAATGCCCTGGGAAGGTTTTCTTCTCAATTCGTATTTTGTAGTAACCTGTGTAAATGTTATTTCTTTATTTTAGCATAGCTTCATAGCCAATGCTCCCGGTCCGGAAGTTCTGCAAGCGATCATCAGAGATGCTAGCGAAATCCAGTCCAATAGCAAGGTGAGAACGATGAGTGTTAATTCACTGCGTACCCCGACGCGTCCCCTTATGCAGCTCGGGTTGCCGACATCTATTAATGCACCATTGCACAACCCTTCAGTATAGGAAGTGGGGTTCATTGGTTAAACATTAGGTACAAATGGTCCGTCTATGAGGAAAACCAAGAAGTGATCAGGCCATCTTCCTTGCCATTCTTTTTGAGTATTATATGGCTCACAGCAAAGAAATTCCGTTTGCCGCTGCGGGAAACCGGACAACGATGGAACGAAGGAGTATGGAGGCAAGTAAGATGCAGGCATCATCCGTGACGGCATTTTTAGGCGGAAGCAAGGGAGCAACGTAGTTACTGGTTGTTAGACCAGACCAGGGGATCCTTCCAGGCGTCTGGTGGTGGAATGCGCCTTCAAGTTGAAGTAGAACAAAGTCTTTCTTCCGTACTTGTGGCTGGGTAGAGTATAGCAGTCTTGACTTCGTTCGATCTCTTTTTGACAATCGTTTTAAGGTTCTTGATCCCCTCCCCATCTTCCAGCGCCCGAAACATGGTTCGCGTTGATGGTTGTTTTCATTCATATTTGCCGTAATGCAAGGAACTTAGATATGAATTCTCTTCTTTTTAAAGTATGCACTAGCCGCGGAGTCGGAAGCAGCAACAATAATCGATGGAAAGGTGGATGGTCGAACGCTACTAACTCGTGGGAACAACCCTGATGACCGCACTTTAGTCGAGAATGCCGCAGCGACAGGTGGGATATCACTCATTTAACATTTAAATTACGTCAAGAGGTGATTTTCGTTTTGTTCCGATTTCCCTCTCACTGTTCTTTTTCCAGTGGAGTTATAAAAAATTGGTGTGCTGCTTCGAAGAAAAGAAATTTTTGTTAAGATCAATTTCTTACTGCACTGAGCTTGAAGAGCCAAATGGAGTCGTTGCGTATCGGTGGCCAAATACCAGGGTCAGTGCTGGGCGCTCCTCCACCTTATCAGAAAGCTGGGTCTTTAGTAGAGAAGCCGGAATACGCAGCAACCACGACGGATACTCCAGTTGGGGAATCGGAGTCGTCAACGACGTCTAGCATAAGTGAGCTCATTGTTTTCTTTATCTTGTTACTGGGTGGTACACAGTGGTCTAGTGTTTTCAGTTTCTTTCGTGTTCCAACTTGTTACTCTTTCTCACTCACTTGTTTTTTGTCAACATATTCTCCTCTTTTTGAGACGTTGGCGATATCATGGTGCATGGTGTGCCCTCTGCAGGCTCACTACTCGTACTTGTCATTACATGAGAAAGCACAAGTGTCCAATCTCCATTCCTATAACAATCGTTGATTGCTCTGTCGAAAAATTGAGATCGGGCAGTGACTGTGCTGTTTTCCATCTTGTCCCGAATTGCTGAAGCATCATGTGATGATGATTCGTCAAATAGAAATACAGTTTATGGCATCTTTTTTGTCAGCTAGAGAGTGAACTCCTTTTTTTGTGGTAGAAAAATCTTTAACAATAAAACGAGCTAAACACGCCAAATAATTAAGCGCAATACTTATAGTAGTTTGAAAATTTAAAGCACCTTTTTCACTGGAATGTTCTGCTAAGTTGTGTTTTTTAGTGAATACCGAAGCGGAGTACGAGAATCGTTTTCACAAGTCAATGGCAGAGGATGATTACGAGTTTGTGAGTTTTTTTTTGTATCATGTTTTCCGTTTTGGATTAATTTCGTGTTTTGCCATTTATGGAATATATTTTCCTTTCCTTTCTTTGCACGACTTGATTCTCATTTAAAGGAAGCGGTCACACTGGCTGCCACGTAGAATTTGCTACCCTCGCGTTACCAATCGATAAGATGTGAGGCAGTAATTGTTGGACGAGTGTAAGCCCTTGTAAGATATGA